TATATATATATATAATTATATATATTTATGTACAAAATAAGAAAAAGAAAAAAATTTTTCCAAAATAAAATGTTTATGCACCCTGTATAGTCAACGTTTGCTACAATCTCCATCTATTTACTTCATTCAACGGTTCATAATTTCGATCAAAATGGCCCCGAAATGTCAGTCTTTCCGTTTGAATTTTGTTAATTTTATTACAAGTAATTGAGCATGTGACTGTTGTCCAACGTGACTTATTGAAACTTGCTACTTATATGCTATTATTTCGCTAAAATACGATTTACATACGGCAATCCAGAAAACGTTTTGTTCAATTATGATGCATAAATATCGCGTGTTATTAGGATAATATATTATACAATTTCGATAAACAATAGCATAAATATTTTGATAACACGCACTATATATAGAAGAAGCAAAATATAAAACTTGTATAACAAGAGATCATATTTCTGCTATTAATTTAATAATTCTGTGCAAGTTAAATTGAATAAAACGCTCTGTAATATTCGATGATTATAAATATTTGTCATTTTCGTAAAATCGTATAGTACCGCATGTCTCTTATGTTACTGGTTCTATGATAGCCCGTACATATGTATATTTATTGTTAAATGCTAGAAACTCGTTAAACTCGTCGTTAACAAGAAATAAATTTTAAAACTGACCTAGGATATTTGATTATCGAATTGTGAATGGCTAGTATTAATGACATATCTCCCTCTGCTTCCCTTTCTCTTTCTCTGTCTTTCATTCTTTCTATCATTCATATATTTCACCTCATTATAGTTCGTCTACTTATATTTGAACATTCACACGCGTCCGTTTAATTAATTTAATGTGAAAGAAAAAGAGTAACAAATTGCATAGTTAACAAATAAATAGGAACCAGCCTATGTTACACTTAAGGTACTAATGGACAAAAGTGCAAGTAACGTGATATCCGAAACGCAGTCCTGAGGAAACATTGACTGAGAGGATATTTTTCACTTTTGTTCGTTTTAATTAACAATGAATTGCAAGATAGTGCCTCTATTTAGTTATAAAAGTTAACAATCGCTATACCATCATTCTCCTCTTCTTACCGTATGCTATTTTCATTACGTTTGCAGTTTCCATTACGAGGGTATCCAGTATAGCTACCGTAAGTCCGTTCTTCACCGCCAGTTCGTCGTGATGAAACTTTGTCCATTCGTCCTCCTCGGCCTGAGCTTCTCTCGCCAACAACTCGTCGACTCTGTCTCTGCGTTTCCTGCTCCATCGCATCACCATGTTCTCTCGCTGCAGTTTTGTCTTGAAACCAAACAGTGTGGCAACTTCCTTGTTAACGTACTCGACGAGTTCCTCGACATTCTTTGGGATCTTCATCGTAGGTTTCGTTTTCACGTTCGGCTTTGTCCAACTCGGACCGGGCTTCTCGTATTCCGCTCGATAGACTTCCACAATGGTCTCTTTACAGAGATCGAAAAGGAAAGTATTGTATATCCGCCTGTCCCTTTTCTCACTCTTATCTTCGGTTAACTCGTAGATTTCAGGAGGCGCTTCCAAACTTGCGATATCCTCGCCGGCCAGTTTGGCATTGTATATCAGAGCTGTGGCTTTCTCAGTGAACAATGTTAACTCCTCGACATTTGACGGAATTACGGCAGTGATTAGCGAAGGCGAACCAAGCGAAGCTGATAATCGACCAGGTGGAGTGTAAGGAGGCGGTGGCTTGTTCGGTATCTCTCGAACGTAGTAAGACACTTCCTCCGCTTCCAATTTTTTGATCTTAAAAATAATTACATACATTCAGGTTGAATGCCTATATTTGCAACAATTGGATCATACATCATATACACGGGATACGTACCTCCAACTCGATCTGCAATTGTTCGATTCGAAGCAGCTTAGCTTCCAGTTCGGCGAGCTCCTGACCAGGTTGTTCCAATGAAGCTGTACGGAGTAAGCAAGAAATATATATATATATATCGATAAATACGATAAGCAAGCAAAGAGACAAGTTTGTCGGGAAAAGCAACACGAGTTTTCACATTACATTGGGGGTTCACAATTCATATACTTAAATTGAGAGTGCTCAAAGGAAAGGAACGGACGAAAGGAAAATATATCGGATTCTAATGCATATATATGCAAATATATATATATATATAT